AGTGGAACTCTAAGGACAAGACAAGTCTATAAAGTTCCCATGCATGGGCATAAGGAACTTTCTAGAAGGGGAAAGGGTGAGAGGGGAAGAACTCTGACCAAGTTTCAAAGAATCAAAGCTGAACTGTCTCCACTTTAAAGTGTTTGGAAATGAGCAATGTGTGCTATGAAATAGAAGGCAAAAGGTGAGATAGTACGAATTCCAAGTAAATGGAACTGCACAAACTTTGGAAACTGCAATGAATAGAACATGGCTGGACACTATAGGGATAGTTGAAGGAAAGATGGAAAATGTATGATTTTTATATACAATCATTTCTTGAAAATGGGCAAAGAACTTTTAATAGATGTTTCTCCCAAGAAATATAATGCAAGTCTCTATAAGCACATGGAAAGTTTATCACCACCATTAATCATTAGGACAATGAATATCAAGACTACAATAATGCCTTATCCCCAGTAGAAATGCTACCAGCAAAAACCAAAGACCAAAACAGAAAATAACAAACTGTAGTAAGGATTTGGAAAAGTTGGAACTTGTGTACTGGTGCTGTGAGTGTTAAGACATAGAGCTGCTGTGGAAAATAGTATAACAATTCCTTAAGAAATAAAATAGAATTATTGTGTGATCCAGCATTTTACTCTTGAGTATACAACACCAACTCCCCTTTCTCCCTACCCCAAATACTACAAATACTCAGGTATTTGTATCCCTATATACAAAGCACACAACAGCTGAAAGGCAGAGCAACTTATAAGACAATGAATATCCATTCAAATTGTAGTGAATGCCTACTAAGATATACTATAAAGGACGTTTTTTACATGTTTCCAATATTTCAGGCTTGGGGAGATTATAAGTGAAATAAGTTAGTCACAAAAAGACAAAATACTGTGTAATTTATAGAAATTAGTGGCTGCCTGGAGTTGAAATTAAGTGGGCAGTTATTAAATAGGTATAGAGTTTCAGTCTTACAAGGTGAAAACAACTTCAGAGATATTCTTGGGGAAATTTATGTATGTATTTATTACTGGGCATTGAACTCAGAGCACCACACTTGCTGGTCAAGCATTCTGCCACTAATCTCGGGGACTAATGTTTTCAGGTGCAAGTTTTAAAGTCTTATTTCCTAACTAGTTTTGAGGACTTCTGTATATATTCTAGGTAGTCATTTCACACAGCCCCCATTTCAGGGCTTCACACTCTCCTAAGTCTTTTTATTTTTCTTTACCACTTGAACCATACCTCTACTTCATTTTGCTGGCTCGTTAGAGGTTAAGTGTCTCTAGGATTTGTCTGCCTGAGCATCTTAGAACTTCAGTCCCCAAATCTTAGATCTCAAGAGCTAGTATTACAGGTGCAAGCCTTATCTTTTCACTATGCCTTCTTTGTTGTGTCAGAAATACTTAATTAAAATATAATGAAATTTGTCAAGCATTATGTTTTAGGGTCTTTTTGAAGAAAGTAATCTATATTGTAATCACAAAATACTCTTTTGTATATATATTTTACTAAAAATTTTAAAGTATTCGCTTTTGCCTCTGCAATTTTTGAATTATCCTTCCTCTTTCCACATCTGCAACTTCACTTTTGTCCACATCTGCACTGCTCTGTTCCTTCACTATTTTGTTCTGTTTATTCAGCTATTCCTGTACCAACACACCACATTCTCATTCTCTTCTTCTCTCCCTTTCCTACCCTCTCCTATCCTCCCTCCCCTTTTCCCACCCCACACTACTCCAAAAACAATTTTGCTGAATAGGCCACATTTGACCTTGAGTTCTTGCTTTTGCTTTGAGTGCTAGGATTATAGACATGTGGCACAACACTTGGCCTTATCACTTTTAATTGCAGATGTGCATAAAAGTCCCTTCCATTTGTTCTTGTTTCTGGACCTTTATGCCTACATTTCAGAAGCAGCTTATCAAATATTAGGAGAATCTCAATTGGAATTTTGATTGGGATTATTAGAATCTATAGACCAGTTAGGTTGAGACTGACATCTTTACAATTTTAATCTTTCCAAATGAACAGTATTCCTGCCCAACTATTTACTTATTATTATAATCTTGGATAACACAGTGTTCTCCATAACATCTTTGTGTTGTTTGTTCTAAATGTAAACATTCCCTTTAAAATCTATTATTTCCTAATTTCTTAGAAAGCACTTGAAATTTATGGGAAAAGTGGAAAGAACATCATCTGGACTATTCCAAATAGTTCTCTACACCACAGTGATTGCTTTATATGTGTTAATGCACGTGAATGATAAAACAATATAGATTCCTAAGTATTTTACTAGAATAAATACCTAAGCTAAGCTATTTTAAAATAATAGGAAGCCATGTGGTTTGTGTACAAATGCATAATGACATATATGAATATTTAATGAAAAGCTGATCTAGAAAGCTAGCCTGTAGTTTTTAGCTTGTCTAAAACACTGTTAAAGCTTTTTAAAAATTCTTTTTTAACACACTAAATCACAATTTGAATCACAATTCTGTTTGCTTTTCCTCCTAAGACTCTGAATTAATATATCTGACTAGATATGAGAGATTTCTTTTGCAGGAATAGAATTGTCTGGCTTGCAGTATTAGGCTGGGACATCAGCCTAATTACACAGGCTTTCATTAAGTGCAGTAAACTTGGGAGGGAATGTTATGTTTTGTTACCTGTTTCGTTCCTTCTAGCCACTTTGGTTCTCTGATATAGTGAACTATTGAGGCAGTCTTAAGAGGAGAAATCCTTCAGCAGATCAGAAGCTGAGCCTCTACTCTGTTCTCTAATGCATTTCACTACAGGTTGCCAGAAGAGCCATCTCAATTTTCTAATCCTTTGTACTTAATTCTACCCATTTCCAATCAACAAAACTTATTTGAAAGTTTTGTTTGCTTAGCCAGTGTACCGTCTTATGCCTGTAATCCTAGCTACTCAGGAAGAGAGATTGAGAAGATCATAGGAGGCCAGTCCTAGCAAAAAGTCCTTGAAACACCTTTTTAGTGAGCACAGTGGTGCTTACTATCATCCCAGCTATGTAGGGAACTGAGATCAGGAGACTTATGGTTCTAGGTCAGACAAAGTGAAAAGTTCAGAAGATTCCAGTCTTAGAAGAAGGTGGTACACACTTGCCATCTCATCTATAGCAGAAAACATAAAGTATTAGAACATAGTCCAGGAACTGGCCAGGCAAAAAGCAAGACTGAAAATAATCTGTGCCAAAAAGGGCTGGAGGCTTGGCATAGCAGTAGTACATGCTTACTTAGCAAGTACTAAGTGCAAACCCCAGTACCTATACAAAATTATTTTTATGCCTAAATGTGATAGCTAAGAGACATTCCATTTTCATTCTCTTAGTGACATTAAAAGTCAGAATCATTGAATGCTTTTGCTTGAACATATGCTTTATTTTCTAAGAAACAGCACTTTCATGTGTCTATTGTTTTATCCGTTTATGGCTCTTTTTTCATCCTTTTGGGCTTTTCTTTCTGTCCCAGCTCTTTTACTTAAACTGACAGTCTTCTCCTAAAGATGTTTTGAGCCTTGTGCACACAGTATCTAATTTTCTTAGACCTTTTTTTTAAAAAACTGCTTTATAGTTTCCTTTCTATTCCCCTTAGGAACAAAATGCTACTGCTTCTATAAATAACATCATCTGAATGGATTTAGATCTTTAGGAGTCAGAAAGGCAGATCTATTCTTTTCTAATTACTTTAATGCCAGTGTTCAGTGCTTAAGGAACCTGGTTATTTCAGCACTATTTTCTTTGTGGGATTGTAGCTACTCTGTAAAAGCTAAAGTTAATGATTCAATTGAAATCCAATACATTCTAGGGCAGTTTATAAGTCCTAATGTGTGACTTTTCCTTTTGTTCCTTTTAATGCATTCAAGGCTGTTTTTCAACAGTTTGAAATAGCACAAGCTCTTATGAGTTACTCTTCTAAAAATTTGTGATACTGGATTTCTTCATCAAATTTGGTAACATTTTGTTCACTATTTTTTCGTTTTTTTCTGACCCATTCTTTTCTTTTTCTGTTATTAACATGTGATGCATTGCTTAAGATCGCGTAGCACATCTCCAAGGATTCCCCCCCCCCCCCAATTATTTTTACTTTGTTGTTCACCTTAGATAGCATCGTTCCCTTACTTCTTTCTCTGTAGTCTCAGCTGTTAAAACTGCCCAATGAACTATTTCTGAAAGTATAATTTTCAGTAGCAGAATGGCCGTCAAGTTCTTATCTGTTGACATTCTCTATTTTGTCCAGCTTTCCATCCATGGACAACATGCTTCACCTCATTGAGGTGACATGAATCCTTATGTCTCGCTTCGACGGCAGATTCTTAGATGATCGTGTTTCGAAGAATTTCTCTTCCACCTGGAATTGTGAATAACTTGTTTTTAGGCCGGTATTGGGGCTTGAACTCAGGGCCTGGGCACGGTCCCAGGTTCTACCACTTAAGCCACGGCTCCACTCCCGGCTTCTCACGCTTCGGACTTCGAGAGCTACTTCTTGCTGGGATTCACCTAACGGCCGCCGAGCCGCCCCTGGGCGCTCCGCCTGTCCCTCCATGGTCTCCCCATTTCACACGCAGTGACCCCCACCGCGCCCAGCTGCCCACGCGCCCCGCGCTGGCCCCGGGCCGGCAGGCTCCCGGGGTGGCTCCCGGCGGGCGCTCGGCTCCCGGGGTGGCTCCCGGCGGGTGGCGCCGGCTCCCCCCGGCTGCGGGACCGGGGAGTCCGGGGCCCAGGCCGGGCGAGGGCGAGGCGGACGCGAGCTACCCACGTTCCCCAGAGCAGCCGGGCCGGAGGGGGCTGCGGCCTCTCCTAACCCTTTCACACCCCCGTGCGCTCAAGACGCGAGCACCGCGGAGTGCAAAGGCCTAGAGAACGTTCTGGAAGGAGCGGCTGGTGGGGGCGTCCCGGGCAAACCCGCGGCGGCGGCGGCCGCGGCGGCGGAAGAGCGGCACGGCGGCGCGCGCGCCCGGCTTCCGGCCGGGTCCGGGTCGCGGAGCTCCGCGCGGGCCAGCATGGAGGAGCAGGTCGGTTCCGAGCCGGCTCCTGGTGGCGGTGGCGGCGCGGACCCTGGAGGCGGTGGCGGGGGTGGCGACGGCGGCGCTCCCCCGTGGGCCCCCGAGGACGCCTGGATGGCCACGCACCCTAAGGTCAGCGGCGGGAGGCGAGGGCGGCCCCGGCCCCTTTCTCAGGCGGAACTCGCGGGTCGCGGTCCCCCTGCGACCCGCGGACGCGCGGCGGTGCGCACCGGCCTCCGCCGACGGGCGCGCGCCACCCGCGGCGGCGGGGTTGACCCCGAACTCCTCTCTCCACACGGACACCCCAAAGCCGAACACCCCGCTTGCTTCTGTTTTGTTACCCAGACAGAGCAAAGCCGCGGCGGTGTGTGGTCGTGGGCCGGGCCTCCGAGTCCGTGAGGAGCCAAGCTTCAGCCCGGCTCGGCGTGCGCCTCGTCCCGCGTCGGTGCAGTGGGTTCCTGCCCAAGGCGGGGTGTGTTTTCCCCAGTAGCAGGCAGGTAGCCCCGACCCTGCTGCTGCTTGGGACATGGCCACCGGCAGTGAGTTGGTGCTGAGTTATAGAGGTGATGGGATCTGTCAGGAATCTTGCAGACTGGACCAGTGCGTTGTTAAAACGGCACTCGCTCCCCACCCCCGTCATAGAGTAATAACCTATAAATCCAACAAAAAGAACCAAAACTTGAAAAAAATCAAGTCCATAGTGAATTTGTTTTTCAGCTTCATTTGCTTGATTTTTTTTTTTTTTTTTTTTTGTCTCCCTACTCTCTTTCAGACCTCTAAAAAAGAAACAGTAGCATGGAAATGTTTAGTGCCTTAAAAAGAAAATACCAGCTGAGGGCTGGTGGCTCACACCTTTAATTCTAGCTATTCAGGTTTGGGTTCAAAGCCATCATTTCAGGAAAGTCTTTGTGACTCTACCCTCTATTATTAATCATCCAAAAGCTATAAATTGGAGCTGTGGCTCAAGTGGTAGAGCTCTAGTCTTGAGCAAAAAAGGGCAGAGACAGAGCCCAGGCTCTGAATTCGAGCCTCAAAAAAAAATCCAATTAACTTAAAAAAAAATAAAAAAAATGGATGAGTTCTCAGTTCTGCACTTTTGTCAATGTGAAAATTGCTCAGTAAAATAAATCTAGTACAATGACATTCGATTTATCATCCTTATACACAGGTTAATGGTTTGTAATTTACACTTTTAGTTTGCACACAAAACCTTGCAACCTGGGACATTAACATTATTTTTCAAACACATTTTCTGACTCGAGTAGTCAACTCAGCATGGCTCTCGGGCATTGGTGCCTTTGCCATGAAGCTGATGGGGAAAGATGACATCACAGCTGCCACATAGAGGTCATAGTTCATCCAATTAACCCTTTATATCCATCTGGTCACTGATGTATCTTTAAAATTCAACAAGGACAAAATTGCCTATGCTCACGAGTGAGTGACACTAGGAATGGTATTTTGGCAGCCTCTCTACACGCAACTAAGAAGCTAGGGAAATAGAAGCTCCCTACTAACATGTCCCAACAAAAACATGATTAAAATTTGTGTCTTTTCTGTGGATGGATTTCTTTGCAGGCTCTTGAATATGTGTGCCTTATTTCCACCTTCGTGTGAAAGTGCTCTACTTCTCTGTACTCAAACCATGCATGTCCTGCAGGACATGAAACATTCAATATCCAGGCCCCCCGAGTAGCATTACCTTTGACCTGTGGACATGTTTTTCTCCCCATTCACATGTGCTAATCATATACGATTATTTCTCAAACACATTAAGTACAGATCTTTATAAGGTCCATTGGGTATCCTCAGATTCAACCATTTTTAGACTGAAATGATTTGAAAACAATGTTGCGTTTGTAATGAAAGTATACAGGATTTTTTCTTAAATAATACAACTATTAACATAGTATTTGCATTGTATTGGTATTATATGGAACCTAGAGAGGGTTTGAAGTTTACAGGAATATATTAAATACAAATACTACAGAGATGAACATTCTTGAGTTCTGGTATTAGTAGTGGTGGTGACGGTGGGGGGAGGCTAGATCTATTCAACGGATACTGGAGGGAAGACTAAACAATTAGAGATTCTTTACAACGATTGGATCTTATATTGCCTTGTAACTTCCACTAAATCAGGAAGATATTTTTATTATCACAATGATGATATATGTGTGTATTCAGCGAATACATCATTGAAAAATATTGAAAGGTTCTTCCTTCCCTATTTGACAATTACATTTTTATTTTCAGTACTTAGAAATGATGGAACTAGACATAGGAGATGCCACTCAAGTATACATTGCATTCTTGGTTTACCTGGATCTCATGGAGAGTAAGTTCTTTGTTTATATTATTTGATTTTTGAGGCCATGCTGGGGACTTGGGAACTGGGATGGAATATAGCATTGTCGACACATAATAAGCAGTCATTTTTGCATTTGTTATGAGTTTTGCCAATTAATTTCACATTCTTCATTCCTTTATATTGGGAATAACTATGTAGCAGAAAAGCTAGAAAAGTAAAGAGAGAAGATAATATTTATGAGTGGTACCAAGTTTGGGTAGAGCTTGCAATTTTTGTTTGCTTTTAACAACCGTGATTGTCCACTCTGACTCTGTTTTAGGTAAAAGTTGGCATGAAGTGAATTGTGTGGGATTACCAGAACTGCAGCTCATCTGTCTAGTCGGTACTGAGGTAGAAGGGGAAGGGTTACAGACGGTGGTGCCTACTCCAGTCTCGGCTTCTCTCAGCCATCACAGGTGAGTGGATGATTTTTTTTTTTGTTTAATTGTGGATGATTTTAGTTGAACAGGTCCTTCGGGGAATAGGAAACAAGAATAGGCAAGACTTCTGATTTGGGCATTCTCTCTTCCTAGCTCTGAGGGAAGCCAGCTGCCATGTGAGCTAGCTACAGAAAGTAGCAAAGACAAAGTGATTCCTGATGAAGCAAGAGTGTTGAAGGATGCTGGGAGAGCTCATGAGTGTAGCTAAAGAGCATAGTATTCAGCTGGAAGCCACATACCTGGAGGTTGGGCTATAGAAAGAAAGGACATATAGAAACTTGGGTTCTTCTTGGATGAGTATAAACATGGAGTTAGAGAGCAGAGCACTGAAATTCTGGCATGAATAGCTTTGAGGAATACCTGGTTTTCCTTTGCATAGCCTTGCAAATTGGAGAAGTTCATTGAGACATGTTCTAAAGGCAAAGGTAACTCACCATGAATAGAAATTTTTTTTTTCCTGAAGACGGCAAACAATTTTTGCTCAATAATAAGGCATCTATAAAAGTAAATTTGTTCTTTGTTCACATTTTTTTTTTTTGAGGTCCGGTCATGGGGCCTGAACTCTGGGCTGGGCGCTGTCCCTCAGCTCTTCAGCTCAAGGCTAGTGCTCTACCACTTAAGCCACAGCGCCACTTCCGGCTTTTTTCTTTTTGCTTATGTGGTGCTGAGGAATCAAACCCAGGGCCTCAGGCATGCAAGGCAAGCGCTCTACCACTGAGCCACCTTCCCAGCCCATAAACAAGTGATTTTTTTTTTTTTGTCGGTCATGGGGCTTGAACTCTGGGCCTGGGCGCTGTCCCTCAGCTCTTCAGCTCAAGGTGAGCGCTCTACCACTTGAGCTACAGCTCCACTTCTTTGTTCACTTTCTAAATGTAGGTTTTGGGATAATATTTCTTACATGTTAGTGGCTTCCTTATGTTTGACTTAGTTTTGGGAGAACATACTGATTATGTCAGTCACAAGAGAAATATCCCAGCACTGAATGCTAGCTTAGAAAATAAAATTTCTTTCTTGGTAATTGTTGGATGGGATCTAGTAAGAATGGAATTATCCTTTCTTATATGTTGGGACTGTCTCCACTTACTTCTTACTAGGTAATTGAATTACAATCAATGGAGATCTGACAAGAACTTTACAGTGTCATGGGCGGGTTGTACATGTCTGGACCACACTAAGGTCAGAAAGAATCTCCTAAAGGTTGTGAGAGTCTGTGTTCTAATAGGACAGCTGCAGGCAGTTAAGTATGGTCACCTGCCCAGCCTGCTGTCTGGTCAGAGAAGGCACTCACTAATATTGCCTTAAGGCAGTGAACACAAGTAAATGAACAACCCAGGAGAGAAGAATTGAGGATGAAATGAGGTGGGAAAGGTTTTTTGGATTATGAAGCCATTGCTATCTTAATTTGTTTTGCAGTTGCAGACAGCTGTTTAATAACAGCATTTTAAGTGTCTCTTTGTACTCATGCATATGAGCTTCCTTGAGTAGAAGCTTAGAGATGGACATGTGGCATTTATATCTACATCTTTGCTGTTTATTGCTAAAGTGTTTCTTTTAAAAGGATTGTTACTACTTACACAGGTAGTGCTTAACATTTTCATGGAATAGGAGAGGAGATATGCTGTATGTGTGACTGGAAGAAATTCTCAATGTGGTTTCTCTTTTCTGTGTAATCCAGCTTACTATGGAGGTGATATAAGAGAATCAAGGTTAAAGGCCACGCCTTGAAAGAAGTTAGAAGTTAGCAAGACCCTATCTCAAAAAAACAAGACAGGAGCTAGGCACTGGTGGCTCACTCCTGTAATCCTAGCTACTCAGGAGGCTGAGATCTGAGGATCTTGGTTCAAAGCCAACTTGGGCAGGAAAGTCCATGAGACACTTCAGTAAAGTGGCGCTGTTGCTTAAGTGGTAGAGTGCAGGGACAGCGCCTGAGCTCAGAGTTCAATCCCCACGACCACCCCCCCCCCCCCAAAAAAAAAAAAGGAATACAAGTACACTCCTGTAATCTCAGCTTCATAGAAAGTCTAGGTGGTAAAGATGGGCATGGTCATGCTTATTCAGATAAAAAGTACAAGACCCTATCTAAAGAAATAAAGCAAAAAGAGGGGAAGTCATGGCCATGAGTTCAAACCTTAATACTGCCACTGCCCAAAAAGCATAGTTAATACAGTTTAATTCAGATTATATAAATAGTTTCTGTGACTAAATTAAGAAAAAGCAATCTAGTGGAAAACATGGGCAAAGAACAGGGAGGAGGCTACAATGCTTGATAAGAAATGTACTCATTATCTTGCCCATGTAATTGTAACCCCTCTGTACAGTATTTTCACAATAAAATAAGAAAAAAAAAACAGTAGATGAAAATGGAAAAAAAAGAATATGAACAGGCAATTCACAGAAAAGGAACTCAAACACACAAACATTATTTATCATGAAGCTCATACAAATCTACAACTTGCCAATCTTAACTTGTCCTAATTTGATAGGCACCTCTGAGGTTTCATATTTTTACTGCTCAACAGAAAGGAGGTACTTTATTTATTGGAATAGGGTACAGCTAGCAACATGATGTTGGAGCAAATCAGAAGAAGTTGTTTCCTCAGCCTGTGAAGAAAGATGTCTTTACCAGGGCTCCAGACTTGGCATACAATAGGGGCAGGTTGAGACTTCAAGAGTGCCCTGTTCCACTTCACCATTGCGTGTCTACCTCACTCTCAGAGCTGAGACAAAAATATGCTTTATTTGTGTCCCTGTGTTTTCAAGTAGTTTTAAAAACACATATGTCACCCCAAGGTCTGTCACTCTTAGAGCTATTCCTACTTTACTGTTGTTTTTAAAATCTGTTGTAAAATAAAGCCAGACACAGAAAACTACCCAATTGTAAGAAGTGGCGGAGGAGGCAACAATACTCAATAGGAAACGTACTTATTACCTTGCTCATGTAACTGTAACCCCTCTGTACAGCATTTTTACAATAAAAAAGTACAAAAAAAAGAAGTAGCCTGTGAGTGAGACTTATACATATTATCAAGAATATTAGTGTTGGGAGGGGGGGGAGAGGATGGGAAGGGATGGGAAGGGGAAACAAAGGAGGAGGCTACAATGCTTGATAAGAAATGTACTCATTATCTTGCCCATGTAATTGTAACCCCTCTGTACAGTATTTTCACAATAAAAAATTAAAATTAAAAAAAGAATATTAATGTTATATTAACAGGTGTCCTATTAGAAGCGTATTACCTGCTGCCTACACCATGGCTCACAGCTGTAGAATACTCTCCTGAGCTATGCTGCTTAGCTCCTTGAATGTGGGGAATGGGTTGTTGGTTTGTTTTTTTCTGTTGTTGTGGTTGTTGTTGTTCTGTTTTGCTTTGTTTTTCTTTTTTGTACTGGTCTTAGAGCTTGACCTCAGGGTTTGGGCACTATCCATCCATGAGCATTTTTGCTCAAGGCTAGTGCTCTGCTATTTGAAGTATAGCTCCACTTCTGGCATTTTTGGTGGTGAATTGGAGCTAAGAGTCTCATGGGCTTTTCTGCCTAGGCTGGCTTTCAGTTCTCAGATTTCAGCCTCCTGAATAGCTAGGATTACAGGTGTGAGCCGCCCAGGGTTTGCTGGGAGTTCTTTTAATGCTCTGTGTTCCTTGAGAATATTTGAGACAGCATGTTTGTTAATGGGGAAGCTGGGTAGCATACAGTATCCAAGAGGAGATGGTTGGGCTGGAGGGGCAGTTTCATTCTATTCATAGAGAGCATGAAGGCCTGCCAGCCTTTATGGATGCTTCCGAGTTCTAGGATATGTTATTTGTGAATCTGGGCTGAACTATCACTTATGTTAAGTACAACTTAGTTATAAAATGTTCCTTCATGAAGACTAGTCACCCTACTTTCACCTAAAGCCATTTCAGTGGCTGTGGGCTGTCTGTCACACGAGTGGCAGCCTGGCCCCTGGATCTGCATGGCTCATTCTTTCCATGACTTGTTTTACAACTCTTCTGTGGCATGCACCCACTCCTTACAAGGCGCTCACTCTAAGCAGTGTTTAGTGTAACCGTGTCCCTATCTCCATGTGCTTTAGGAATGTCAAAACAGTTTTTCTGTCCGTGTCACATGGCTTTTCCCAAATTGTGGATTTGTTTACTTAGTTTCTGGCACGAGTGCAGACAGATCCTGTTACAGGGTGAATGTGTGTTTGAATAGCCGGGAGTATGTATGATCACAGTTAAAACAATTTGTCATATTTTTCAAGTGTCAGAAGGTCCTGTATACACTAGTTCTAGAAATATTGATTTAATGCTAATTGCCACTCTCCAGTGAGCGAATAAAATTGGCAAAGTGCCCATTTCTGATTGTTGATGGGAATATTATGGAGTATAAGGTGATTAGTTGCTAGGGTTTCCTGAGGGCAATGCCACATCTTTTTTCCCCCTCAACTAAAAACATTTACTAAAGCTAATATAAATAATTTTTAGTATGCAGTATATGTGTCTGGATGGTAAATCCTGTGGAAAGCACCTTGGACTATTTTCTACCTAAGGCAATCTGAGAAGCCCATGAATAACCTTGACAAATGTCGCTGGAAGTAAAGCACATTTCCCCAGATACAACAGTCACATGAAATCAAAGTCACAGGGTTGCAGAGTCCAGAGGTAAAACACATCATAAACAACATACATAGTTTATGTTCAGATAGCTTCTCTTTGGGCTAGCCTGCCATTGCTGTTTGTGGAGAGAGACCTATTACACCAAAGTTAGGAAAGTAGTATGACAGATTTCTAAAGTGGAATTAGTATTGCAGGTAGCTATTAATGTGACAGGATCTTAAATGACTTATACCATGATCCAATTTATGAGCAAAAACAATTTTATTTATTTATTATTTTAAATACATTTTTATTGCAAAAATACTATACAGAAAGGTTACACTTACATGAGCCATGTAATGAGTACATTTCCTGTCAAGCATTGTTACCTCCTCCTTT